TCCAAGAAGCTGGGAATTCACCTCTGGTCCAAAGCGAATTGGATACCGCTAATAAAACGCGAAGCACGCGACGCGGCAGATGCTTAAGCATGTCGTTGTGAACAGTGTCCGGGCCTTCTGACACGCTGCGAAGCCTGGCGATCGCCGATTCCAACTCCGCCAGCGTGAAAGGGTCATTAGATGAATACAATTCACTCGTTGAGAAGTCCACTGCAGATTGTTCACATCGCACTCTGTGCCGCACAAACTGTGGGTTTATGTTACCACCTACGCTGCGCTGGGACAGGGCCCGAGCAACCTCATTCACAACATCCAACGGGCGCATCACAGCTTGGCCGTTAACACACAACACCGGCAGGGCTATAGGTGAATCTGACCCGAAATACGCTTGATTCGGGCCCAAATCTGCGATGTCGGCGTAAACCGGTTCAGCGTGCTCACGTACGCGCGCCAGGAAGCACGCTTCGCCTCTCTTACAATGCGTCAAGCTAAAGCTCTCGCTTTCTTAAAGGCTATGAGGTTTTCTATACTGCTCCTGGCGTCAAAAGCCCGAAACGCACGTTTACGCGCCCGAATGGCGCTCTGACACTCCTCCGTCCGCCACGGAACAGGAGTACGTCGGGGAGCGCCAGACGTACGTGGGATACAGCTGTTGGCACACTAAAAGTCTGTGAGTAAAATCCTCAATAGAGGGTACCGTCCTCTCAGGCTCAGTTACAAACGATTCGTCGAGCCGAGTCTCGAATTCGCCCCAGTCCGCTTCCTTAAAATTCCAGCGTTGTGGTCTAACACTCAACGCTCCACCTCTCTCAAACCGGACCCACACTGGGAAGTGGTCATTTCCCATGGGGTCATCTCCGACACTCCACTCGAGGTGTTGGACGAGCTGGGGACTGGAGAGGTTTAAGTCTGGTGCTGACGTCTGACCGGACGGCATTGTAAAATGCGTACGAGTTCCTGTGCTTAAAATACGTAGTGAAGCACCGTGGATGAATTCTCACACAGCCTTCCACGAGCATTGGTGACGTTACACCCCATGCGGTGTGATGCGCATTAAAAGCACCTAGAAGAAGAAGTGGTGAAGGCAGTTCAGCCAGCAGACATCTCAGGTGCGCCAACGGAAAAGCGATGCCTGGTGGAAGGTAAAGTGAGCAAACAGTAATGTGACGATGGTTGAAATAAAGCCGCACGGCCACGGCCTGAAGTGTGGACCGCAAGCTTAACCTCCTCACTGGCACGCTATGGTGAACTGCCAGGAGGACGCCACCGTGAGCAATGCTCTCCGTCAACACGTCGTTGTGAAACATTGCATATCCTTTCAAAGAGCAGAAATGCTCAGACGTTAGCTTGGTCTCCTGCAGCGCCATGGCTGCTGGAGAGACACTGCTGATGACAGCCTGGAGATCGAGGGCGTTCGCCCTTACTCCTCTACAGTTCCACTGTAAAAACGCCTGCAAAAGTGCGCATTTAAAAAGCGGTACGATGTGAAAAGCTAAAACAAGTCCCGTGTTAAAGGGACTCGGCTGCGCCAGTTGTATGTCCAGACGCCTCAGACCGAGAGCTTCGGCTTAACTCCGGGAGGCCGTGCCTCACCCTAGGACGAATCTTTGGGCTACCTCCGTCAGATGGAGAGGGGGGGGGGGGGGCGGCTGGGGCACGCTTTACGCCGGCGTACCCAGCCCGGGGTGGAGGCGGGGGAGGGCCCATCAGTGGGCCTCTTCCGGGGTTCGAGGGACCAGCGGGGGCCTCCACCGGCTTGCGAGGCGATAGAGTGCTGTTTCGGGGGACGGGCTCTTTGTCTGGCCCGGACAGGCGGCTTGCCGCCTTAGCGCGCTCCAGTTCGGCCAAGCGCGCTCGCTTGGCCTCGCGGGCGCGCCTGTCAGCCTCCTGACGCTCCAGCGTCTCTGCCACATGCTCACAGGCACTGGCAAGAGGTGTCCATAGCGAAGGGACCGGTTGGGTCGCAGACGAAGGCACGGCCGACGGCGCGCGGGGACTCCGACCACGCCGAGCCGTCGTCCAACCGTCGCCTGCTGGTGATCTGGCGCGCACCGAGGAGGCCAGCGGTGCGGCGTCCATCGACTGGTCGATCGGCGGAGAGGGAGCTTGGGGTGCCGACTGGGAGTCGGGCGTTCGGACCGAGGGAACAACCGACAGGCCAAACGACCTCAGAAGTCTCACGAACTGAACGGCCGTCATGTGCTCGATGGGATTACTTTGTGGCAAAGAAGTTTTCACTTTTGACTTTGACCCTTCATACGATATTTTTGGGTGGCTGTCGTGGTAAAGCTCACGAGCTTCAAGAAAAGAGACGTTTTTAGAGCTTTTTATCGATATAATTTCCTTTTCTTTCGCGTAGGCCGGACATGTACGGTCGTACGTTGTGTGTGGGACTTGGTTCTTGCCGCAGTTGACGCGAGTAGGATTCAGCAGAGGTGCAAGCTTAGCTCGTGCGCTCGGAAGACGCACATTTACCACATGCTGGACGGTTACGACAGTGGAGCTTGGTGTGGCCGAATCGCTGGCACTGGTAGCACCGCATGGGGTTAGGGACATAAGAGCGAACCTTCACTCGAGCGTATCCCACACGAATCTCGGCCGTCAAGTCAGTAGAATTAAACGTCAGAATGAGGTTTTTGGTAGGCATCAGCTCTCCTCCCCGTCTGATGAGAATCCTGCGAGCGCTCGTCACACCAAACTCCGAGAGCTCCTCGACTATCTCGTTCTCGTCGACGTCTCGAAGATCAAAACAATTGACCGCGTCCCTGGACGACTTTTTGGTCTTACGTGGTATGGCTGATATTGACACAGTCTTTTCATGCTTTCCAGTCCCATCTCGAACACTGTACGTAAACTCCCTAGCTGCCATGGCCCTACTCGCCTCCAGACCACTAGCGAACTCTACCTCTATTTTTCCATCCCTGAGCTTGTCGCATCTGATGATTTTCCCTAACCTGTCGCAACCGTTCCGTCTCTGAAACCGTGAGAGGGAAGCCAGCTTTATCTCTTCACTACCGAAGATCAGGATCCGCGGACCGGGGGCCCCACATTCGTCTCTGCACCCTGCGGTTATCGAGGTCCGCCCCCGTTTCGGAGGACGGGTGTTTTTAATGTTAGAAGAAGCCATAAAAGGTGGCTTTCATCTCGGCACCGGGGCTTCCCACCCACCACGGAGCCCAACTGGGGGACGGCCCGACACTCCCTCGGGAGGTGGACACCGCCAGGGCTACCCCGGTGCTATACGGGGCAAACGACGCCTCCCACACGGCCAGGTGTAACCGGGGAGACCCCCCCCCCCCCCTCCCCGTCCTAACCGTGGTTCAGCGCCGCCACCCCTTGACCCCTTAAGCCGCTGTGCGCGGCCAGGCGCCCCAAGCGGAGACCCACATGGAGCACCCAACCGCAACGCGAGCGACAAGCCGCAAGACCCGTGTGGCGCCACACGGCCCCCCCCCCCCCACGCCCCCGGATATCCTGGCCAAAGTGGAGTGTTGGGGTGCGCCGTGACTGACCTGCACGACGCGCCCCTCAGCCACCAGGATCCCATCAACCCGGGGACGTGGGCGAGGGGGCACGGCGACCCCGATAAAACGAGGATGAGCAGTGGTGATAGGGCCGGATGCGGGAGTGCGGGCAATGTGGAGGGAGCGGGTGGGACAAGAAGCAGGAGCTCACGTATCGACAGGGTCGCTACGGCCTGAGAGAAACAGCTCGCGCTGTCCACCCGTTACTGGGGCTGGGACCCGAGGGGGCGCTAGTCCCCTACACCGGCCGAAGCCGGTGCCCCTGCAGGGATGCCCCCTCCCCCTCACTGGGGCCTGAAGGGACTCGTAGTCTCCTGAAGGGGCCATAATCGACCAAATAGGCGCAGTTTTTCAACACAAAAGGCAAGAGAATAGGACGTCTTTGGGCTTCCAGGCAATGAAGAACAGTCGCAAACGAAAGTGGAGTGTCCACGAGTGGTCAAAAATAATTATTCATTGATGGAGAGGGTTGCGATTGGGATATTTTTTATGAATCATTACGCTGTCAGAGGGCCTGCGCTGTTTTCGGGGCCCCATATGTCCACTTGCAGGGTCAATTCAATCTGTCAGGCGCCTTCCTCCCTGCTCTTCATCTTATTTGCATTTGCTTGGAGGGTCCTGCGCTGTTGCTGGGCGCTTCCCGCTAGCGTGTCGGGGCACTCTTGTCAGTCAGGAGCCTTCCACGGATTCTTCCTATTCGCCCGAAAGACTCTACACGCTACAGCCAGGGGCCCCATATGTAAGCCTGCCGGGGTATTTTTGGTTACTTAGGCGTCCTTCACGTTGGTTACTTGCTTAGGAACCTACGCTATTGTCGGGGTCCCTATCTGTTCACCCGTTCGGGCACACCGGATCGTTCGGAGGCCTTGCACATTGGGTTTTGTTATTTGAATGTAGAACCCCACCTACGCTCCTATCAGGGGCGATTTGTTAGCTCAAGCTCTACCTCAAATTCATGTCAGTGATACAGCACCAGCCATCACCTGGCCCAGGTTCATGTCAGGGATACAGCAGCAGCCCCCACCTGGCCCAGGTTCATGTTAGAGACACAGCAGCAGCTCCTACCTGGCCAAGGTTCATGTCAGAGATACAGCAGCAGCCCTCACCTGGCCCAGGTTTACGTCAGAGATACAGCAGTAGCCCTCACCTGGCTCAGGTTCTTGTCAGAGATAAGGCAGCAGCCCTCACCTGGCCCAGGTTTACGTCAGAGATACAGCAGTAGCCCTCACCTGGCTCAGGTTATTGTCAGAGATAAGGCAGCAGCCCTCACCTGGCCCAGGTTTACGTCAGAGATACAGCAGTAGCCCTCACCTGGCCCAGGTTCGTGTCAGAGAGACAGCAGCAGCCTTCACCTGTACCCAGATTCGTGTCAGAGATCCAGCAGCAGCCGTCACCTGGTTCAGGTTCATGTCAGAGATACGGCAGCAGCCCTCACCTGGTTCAGGTTCATGTCAGAGATACAGCAGCAGCCCTCACCTGGCCCAGGTTCATGCCGGAGGTCTCGCCCAGCTGTAGCTTCTCCTCCCTGCTGGGGTAGGGGTTGTGCCTGTGACGGACCAGCCACTGCTTCAGTGGGCGCACCATAGCCTGGATAGCAGTCCGCTTCTTCCGCACCTTGCCGCTGTTCTGCCTGTGGAGGTGGCGAGAGCAAGAGACCGTTGAGGATGCCCGAAAGATCGGCATAAAAGAGGCAAGTTGAGTCGTCGCGCAGCGGAGGAGAAGCCTTGTGCTAACCGTGCGCAATGGTGTAGCCAGGGTTTCACCCAGGCGGGGACATTGTTTTGGGATTGGTGGACGTTTTTAGGCTCGGGATCCCATTTTTGCATCTTAAGGGTCCGGTTTTGATGTTTTAGAACCCCTGCTGACGTCTTTCACAGGCCAAAAGTAATGATGCCTTCGGTCCCAGGTCCCCACATCCACCTTCTGAGGGGCATGGGTCCCGGAAGTCCCCCCTCCCTTAACCGCGCCAGTGATCCCCCTCCCTCCCTCCCTTGACTGCCAGAGACTCGTGTTTTGTGAGCCGGCTACAAATATTTGGCAGCATATGGGGTATAAGCATGCCAAGAGACACTTGCTAGGTCATTGGAAGTGGACTGGATTCGAATATCATTAGCGTTTAAACCTAAAAGCCGACAGCTGCTGTTTCTTGTCATCGAATATAGGTTCAGACTATGTACCACATGGGTGTCCATAGCCAAGCGACTGCTCCCCTCAGCCAATCACCAGCTGATCGTCATGGACGTGTTGCACAACGCTGACGCGCCACGCGTGGGAATGGACGTGCTCACCCGTGGTACTCAACCCGACAGCCTGTCACACTGGTCAGATGTCCACCCGTGGCACTCAACCCGACAGCCTGTCACACTGGTCAGATGTCCACCCGTGGCACTCAACCCGACAGCCTGTCACACTGGTCAGATGTCCACCCGTGGCACTCAACCCGACAGCCTGTCACACTGGTCAGATGTCCACCCGTGGCACTCAATCCGAGAGCCTGCCACACTGGTCAAATGTTCACCCGTGGCACTCAACCCGACAGCCTGTCACACTGGTCAGATGTCCACCCGTGGTACTCAACCCGAGAGCTTGCCACACTGGTTAGATGTCCACCCGTGGCACTCAACCCGACAGCCTGTCACACTGGTCAGATGTCCACCCGTGGCACTCAACCCGACAGCCTGTCACACTGGTCAGATGTCCACCCGTGGCACTCAACCCGACAGCCTGTCACACTGGTAAGATGTCCGATGCTTTACCATCTTAGCTGCTGAGACCGCAACTCTGGCCTCCATGGGCTCTTACTCTCTCGTTAGCCGTTTTCAACTCCGACCTCGATTTCTGCCGTCCATAGCCTTGACCTCTTCGGACCCAGACATTAGCTTCTCCCGACCCAGACCCCTGCCCCTACGATCCTGCCTCGAGTATAGTCTGTCCATGACCTCGACCATCACCAGCCTTGGCCCCGATCTAACCCGGCACTGGCTTTGACCTCTACCACCCCAGACGTCTTGTTCATCCACTTCTGACCACCATCCCAGCCTATCTTGACCTTGACCGGTCCCGACCTGACCTTTGGCTCGTACGTTCATGACCGCTACCGCCCCTGAGCCTGAACTCGGCCTTTTTCGCTCGCTACCCTGACCTCTCCCGACCCCGACCACAACCTCTTGTGACTCTGACCTTGACCTGTCGCGGCGCTGTTTGGCGGGCTCGCGACGCGGCTCGCCGCCGGCCTGGCCGCCGGCGGCCGCAGCTTCGCCAGCCTGCCGCCGGATGTCGCTGAAGTCGGGCCCCGCCAGCCCGCTGCCGAACGTGTGGTTGTAGGCGCGACTGCGCTCCTCAGCGAAGCAGCGCCAGTAGAAGAGCGCACTCTCCTGCGGCGGCGGCGCCACCAGGCGGGCCCGCTTCGCCAGCCCGTCGACCTCCGGCGAAGCGGGCCGCTTCGTCGCCACGCCCGACACGGGCTCAGGGACGCCAGGCCACGTGACCGTCACGTGATCCATCAGGGCCGGACGCGGGGCCATAAAGCGTCCACCTGCGGGGCGGGAGGCGGAGGTGGTCAGAAGGCGGACACGACCGCGGCTGGGTGGTTGGAACGGAAGACGCGCTGCTCTGGTGATTCGCCCGATGCTGCAACCGGACCTGCCGGACTCGATCTTTGCGTCTGCACGCCAACCAGCTGTTGTAAGAACAGCTAAGTCTTGGATGTTCCTGTTACTTTGTTTTACTGGCTACACGACTAGTGATACCTGCTGAGTCTCCTGAATCTACCACGAATGTATTGGCATACACCTGTTCAGCACATCTGCTACGGCCTTCTCAGAGGTAACCAACAGTGCCTCGCATACCGCCTCGTTGGCCTCGGTCTCGCCTCGGCCGTCGCAAGCACCAGCGCCCCCTCCCTCTGGCGGCAGCAGCCCGTGTCCCGCGGCCGGTGGCAGCGCCGGCGCCGACACTCGCTGACGTCAGGCGTCTGTGACGGCGCGCGCGCGAGAGAGAGCGGCCGGCGGCGGTGGCGGCGCGGCCGACACGGTCGTCGCGCCAGCGAATTCTATAAACACCGCGGCAGAATTCTCCGCTCTAATAAATCGCCGTGATCGACGAGCTCGGGAGGGGCGGCGCAGCGGTAAACCGTGGGCCGGCGTCGTCGCCGTCGGCCGCCGTTTACGTCGCGGGCGGCGGGCGTACCCGGCGAGGCGACGCGCGCTCTCGGCGGCCCGGGTGCGGCGGGAGGCGCTCCAGACAGCGCCTACAGCTGGAGAGCGCGGGAGCGGGCGAAACGCGACGATTAACGCCTCGAGCCACATCACTTGGAGATGTACCGAGCTTTTTGATTGTAAGGTGTGGTTGTTAGTTCGGTGAATTATAAGTGTACCTTCATTTCATAGTAGTTTGCATTAACTGCAGATGATGTCTTGAATATTGCACTGCAACTAGGAAAATAAGAACATGCAAGATATCATAATTCCACAGATAAGCATTTCATCCCAAAAGCCTGAAGTATGTTCAGGTTTGAGCTGTGTCTTTCAGTATAACGCCATAAAGGAAAGTTATGTTCTATTTGAGAAACACTTCGTGCTTCTCGTCTCTTGCTTTACACATGATAAACGTTTGCAGAGGCATTTTAACTTCAAGAGATACCTAGCAAAAAGAAAGGCGGCGAGTGAAAAAGAGAAATATGCCGCTACTCCGTGAATTAAACCCGACAACTATTTCTATGTCAGCAGAATCCCTTAGATATATCAAATTACCATGAAAAACAAGACACCGCCATAAATTGTCGCGTAGATTGGTCTGAGAGATCGTAATGCATTCTGGTAGCACATGCATCAGTTCCACCAAATTGCATGGGAAGGTGTCGCTGAAATATATGAGCGCGGGTAATTGTTCTCGTCAGTCGTGTTAATATACAGGCAACGTTCCAACCCGTTCTTCTCGTGTTATGTCATTGCGTTGATTGATTATAAGAGCGAACGTTTTGGATTTCCGAGGGGTGGGGGACGTTTACCTACGTACGTGAGGACGTGTCACAACGTGAGGAATGATGACTGTTATCTAAAAAAATATGTGTATCAAAGTAGTGGCCCAACGTAATGGCAGCAAGTTTGAGAGCACAAGCACGTCAGGTTCCAACTGGCGGAATATCACCTGCAATCTGAAGACACCGGTTGGCCTGGATGCCATCATGCGTATCGCGGCACGGCTGATGGCATTTGCGTGCCGGACAGTAAGATCTACTTCGTTGGATTTAGATTCATTGGATGGTGACGTCCCCGTCGGGCTAAAAATCTGACGGGGAACAATGCGGGGTGTTCCGTCTAATGATCATATGAAAAACCCAGCTTTCACCCATGGTGAGACCAGTAAGTCGTAAGAATGCAATCACTAACGTCGTTTTTTAGATCCGTTCCCGAACGCAAACCGCTGAAACCAGAGCTGGGATAAAAGCATTAAAGCCGTGCCAGTGAGCTTGAAGACAGACCAGTCGCATGCATGCCAAATGCAAGAATTTCATTTTTGGAATGCGGTACAGAATAAGAAGCGGTATTACCAATAAAATATTAAACTGACTCTGCGGTCACAACTCTATTTCTTTCAAACCTTTGGACGCTGAGGATTCAAGAATCTGATCTCCTTGAAAGTAGGCCGCTCTGTCTTGTTAACTTTCGCTCACACCTGCCGAAAATAGGTTGTGGTGTATTTGAGTACTTATGAACGGCAAGTGATTCAGCACTGAGTTTCAGGTGAGTGCGACATAAGGTCTTTGAGGATTGGTGTTTTCACACCCACATGCACACTTAGAAACCCCTCTGACAGAGCACCTACCGGACCATCTGCTGACAAATTTAAAAGGTCATCCGCGCCCAAATCTCAGGTACCTCGAGATATGTTCCACTGAGGAAGCAGCCTGCGCATCTGAAATATATCACGTCCTGGGAAGCTTCAGTGTTCGGCTGCACAGTGGGCCCTCGTGTGAATCCAACCAAGGCGACAAGATCGGGCCGGAGAATGTGACGCATTAAGTCCTTCCTCGCCGGCTGTGCCTCAGGCCTGGGTCAAAAGGTCATCCTTCGACATGGTCCGAAATAAACGTCGACGCTTTATCTTATGTCTTCAAGCGAAAAGATTAGGAAATTTATCTCAGAATGGAGGCGATAATAAGAAACAGTCTCCCATAACCAACGCCTAGAATCATTTATGAAGTAGCATCTCTAAATGGATTGCTCTGTTTTCCACGTTATGCTTCTACTTTCGACGCAAACAGTTGGTGTGACCCCGAAACTAAAGGAATATAATCCGATGTCAAAAAGTGTCAAAGGGTCATGCCAGATGTCAATGAGTTATCGTGGCCACATTGCAGTGGCTTTACCATAGAAGCATCATTTATTTCGAGAAACGTATCGTGATACGACAGCAAGCCAGAAAACTGAAACGGTCCTGGTAAATTGCACGCTCCCGACTTGCCCGCAAAAATAAGAATTGGACTCCAAATATAACACATGAACCGGTTGCTAAGCACAAAATCAGTATCTTCCCCAATCAAATATCCCCAAGAAAAGGACAGTCATCCAACCGTAACTTGGTCTTGACCCCATTCTTGGATACATTTAAGCACAAGATAAAGAAATTTAATGGAACTAAAAGCAAGCTTCAGAATATCTAACGTTACAAAAATGAGCCCCATTGAAAAGAAATGCGGCATGTAAAATAATCTGGGCGAACTCTCAGATCCCGAAAATTTGACCTGCTGTTCACGAAAATAAATGAAAAGTATCCACCAAAACTCATTTACGTCCATGCTATGCGTTTCCTTTAGAGCTGACAATCAGATTGTTTGACACCATATTCTCAAAATGGTAGCGGTAATGCGGCACATGGAAAAGTAAGGCTGTATATGGAGTAACTTGCACAAACCTTAATATCCTGAACATTGTACATCTGCATACGGAAAATATGTCATACGTTGCCAAACGCCAAAAGTAAAGCTTGTATGCAAAATGTCATTGAAAAGAGTCTCCAAAGTTGAGCACGCAGTGCCAGTCCAGAGGACACTGACGAAAGATAACGATCCAAAAAGTCCAATTACAGCAGAGACACAGCAGACTGCAAGCCTGATTAGGAGATGCCAGTTACAATCACAAATGCAGTTGTAATTGCAAGATTACAAGATTACAAAGTACATTACAAAGATTACAAGTCTGCAGAAGCGTTTTGGGGCAACAAATCAAGGAATGACTTTGCAGTATGGCTCATTTTGTGTAAAACAATTTTTAAAACTTGATGTAACGAGTGTTTGTACGATTCTGTAAATTGCTATATTCTTCACTTCATCGCGCTGTGGGTCCTTACATATGCGGAATGGCCCCTAGTACTTAAGGTGTCTCAAGACGGAATAAGGTCGCAGATCAGTCAGCGAGAAACTAACAGGATGTGAAGGGACAGTGACTTTCTGTTTTTTTTCCATATACCGTGGTATGTCTTAGCGACGTAGCCAATAAGGGAGCAGGACACGGAGGCTATCCGAACCCCACCCACCCCCGAGCCAAGAGGTTTACAAACATGTTGAAAGAATCCGGAGTCAGGAGTCCGAATCCGGAAATCCCATCCATCCCTTTAGCTTAGCTTCCCTCAGTTTTGGGTGTCTGGTCTTCAGACCATCTCGAGCACTCAGAAGTTTCTGCATTCATGCGTTACAGTTCATGAGTTTAAGGAAGGGCGGTATCTCCAATCTCGTCAGCGAGCGGAAGTTGGGGATGTCGCCATCCAACTATTGGCAAGCATCTTCTGAACCATTGGCCAAAGGGGGACAAAATTTACACCAGCTGACTTTGGAAGATCTTGCACCTGACCCCAAAGCTGCAATGTTCTAACACGACAGGCTGCATAGCTATGACTTCGTTCTCCAAACGACGAGCACGAGTGAGGCGTTTGCATAGTGCGTGAATAATGGCGGGTGGATGGTGTATATGCGATTAAAAATGTGATGAACTTTTTAGGTTGAGAAGATCTAGATCCAAAACACATAGTTCACAAATCATTAACTTCGGGAACACCATCGTCACCAAGGCGTCGAAAGAACCCCACACTGAGGGAGCTGAAACCCTGTGTTACACCGTTTCCAGGGATTACCATGGGGCCAGGTCAAAAGTTGCACAGGCTGTGGATGGATCACGTCCCACACAGACTTTCTGCTCCTCTTCTCCGAGTTCAGTCATAGACTCCCCGCAAAGCATTTCCGCCAGCCGCGCCCGGCTCAACTGCGCCCCCCGCTGAGGGGCACGCCTCGGCACCGGCCGCACTGGAGCCGGCCCCGACCCGGCAGCGGCGCTCGCGCACCGGCCGCCGCCGAGGCGCCGATGTCGGTCGTTACAACGACACCGGCGCCGTCATGTTGCCGACGCGCCCCGATTTGGCGGCCTCTTCCCGGCGCGCCGGCGCACCTGGCGCGGCGGCGGCGGCGCGCCAGATGTCGGCCCGGTCACGCGGATGTTTTGCCACCCCCTCCCCTTCCCCCGTCCGAGCGGTCACGCCACCGCCCGGGGCGACTCCGGCCTGCCCCCGCGGCCGCTCGCACCTGACCAATCAGCGGCCGCGCCGACGCCGGAAGATGGCGGCTGGAGGTGGGCTCCGCAGACAGGGCGGCACCTGCCTGTGACGTCATGAGGTGACAGGGTAGGGGGGCGCGAAAAGGGAGGGTGCGCTAAAATTGCGTCATATTTCTTCCCGCAACATCGTGGGGCCAAGAAGGCGCCGTGAGCTCCGGTCATTGCGTCTGAAAGTACGGAGCGGCGAAATACACGGCTCACCTGATACTGCACCGCCGATCATCCAAGTGATGCGGAACGTACTTGAATGCGAACGGATGGTACCGAGCTCGGTCAGTTCGGAACTCGCTCGTCTTGTCATAACGCCCCATGGCTATGCAAGGGTTCAAGCGGAGAGTGAAGCTGTGTGGGGTCGCCTGACGTCAATCTGACTTGACCCTAGACCTCAATCCTGAGTGCGCAAGAGATCCTGCTGCGGTATGGACGCCGCCGCCCCGTCCGTGCGGACGCTCCGGCGGGGCAGAGGACCGCCCGCCTCAAGGTCGCACTCATACAGCGCTCCGCTGTAGTAACATCCGCGCGCGCTGAGGCCTGCAAGCATCGCGTGCGAAGGCGAGGTAGGAAAGCTGAAAGGAAACGGGTAGATGCCGTAGCGGAGAAAATGCAGCTGCATAATCCAAATTTAAGCTTGGTAGTGCATCAAATTGCTATAAATGCATAACACATGCTGTGGTGATTACTTGCTAACAATATCATCGCTTCATTTGATGCGCACATGAGCGTTATATGTCACTGAGCGACTTTGATCGTTCAAAAAGTTCCGGCGCTTTCTCCTCCATAACGAGGCAAAGGGCATGGATGCAAAAGATCAGCTGGTCACGTGGTCACCTCCACCGCCGGGCTGCGCATCCTGCACTTGCATTCTTCTTGCTTTGGGTGGTGGATCCCGAGCCAGCGTACAAGCCACTGGCCATAGTAACACAATCAAGGTGGCATGCAATGGGATGGGAAACAGAACGCCCAGAATATAACCAAATTAATTGAGCCGTGGGGGCGAGGTAAATCCATCGTTCCACCAGTGAGCTTAACGCCCTTGCTGACACCGTGAGCTGATATTTGGCTTTTATTAGAAAATTGGCAACTGGTAAGCATGCTGGCCGAGTGAGTTTATGAAATGACTGAAGCTTTTGCGGTCTGGTCCGGCCACCACAGCCATGTTTTTTTTTTCTCAGGCTATCTCCACAAGCATCGATCGTGCTATCATGAAGTCTTCAGCAACAATATGCCAAAGTCTGTAAAAGCTGCAACGTAATAGTAAAAAATGACTATTGCGCGCGAGTTCCCTCGTCAGGTGGTGTAGTTGCGCAACGTTGTAAGACCGCCAATGTTTCTCCACCCCATCCAACTAACACCGGGAATGAATAAGAGTGCAAGAGAGTGCGTATCAGAAACAGGTCTACATCTCCGCAACCAGGCGTTGGAGCACGATGATGCTAATCAATAATGATAAAGGATAAAGGGATGGTCGCACTGGAAACAGTATGAGCCGCTGTGTGCAACTACCGAGCGGTGGTGTGAACTAGCCATGGCCACGTCAGCCTTGAGGCGTTTTACAGGACTGATGTCAGGCGTCAGCAACCGAGTCAGATGAAGACGTGAAAATAAATACGCAGTGCAGGTGAATGTACCGGCTGCGCGGCTGTATAATATACCCATTGAAAGATCTGACAACAGTTTCGATACCGATATCGATAGTGCACCAAACATGGGTGCAGCCACCTGGAGCCACAGAGCACACCCACAATTT